ATAGGCCCTGTTCTACTCCTGGCTTTAGATACTATTCTAAATATCCCATTCAGATATAAGATCAAGGTAGACCTATCGCCATATAGAGAAGAAATTACATGCTTTGAGAATCACTATTTGAGGATTAAGCAAAAGAACACTTATCTCAGGCTAGAAAACCAGCTTGCCTGAAGAATTATTTATAGAGTTTATTCAAAATACATTTTAAAGAACTAAGTTGCTGTGGGGTTACTACTAGATTTTTCCAAAAAAACTTTTTAGAATTGAACCAAACAGCCTTCCTTCCCTCCCAGGATCTCCAAAACATAATTGCAAGCCAGTTTTTTTTTCTGATTTGCATTTTTTCTTCTTTTTACAGGAACTCCGACAATACCTCTCCAACCTTGCAGACCAATGTAGCAGTGAAAATAATGCAGTGGAGATGCCACTTGTGATCATCCTGGACAATTTGCATCATGTCAGTTCTCTAGGAGAGATCTTCAATGGGCTTTTGAACTGCAAGTACCACAAATGGTAACAGCATTGTTTTGCCTTTGCCTTTCATAGCGGAAAGTCTCTTTCTCTACCAACAAACATATTCTGTGAACATTCGTTTAACCGACTTCCGTGCCCACAAAGAGAATATTTTTTTATTTAAATAAATCTTAGTAAAATATTATTGATTTTACTTCAACTGCTACTCAGAAGTAAGCATTTCTCTTAAGTAAGCATGCAGGGTTTCTATCTGAATATAATAATAATAATAATAATAATAATAATAATAATAATAATAATTAATAATAATAATAATAATAATAATAATAATAATAATAATAATAATAATAATAATAATAATAATAATAATAATAATAATAATAATAATAATAATAATAATAATAAAGTTGGAAGGGACTTTGGAGGTCATCGAGTCCAACCCCCTGCTCAGGCAGGAACCCTACACCATTTCAGAAAAATGGCTGTCCAGTCTCTTCTTAAAAACCTCCAGTGTTGGAGCATTCATCACTTCTGGAGGCAGGTTGTTCCACTGGTTAATTGTTCTAACTATCAGGAAGTTTCTCCTTAGTTCTAAGTTGCTTCTCTCCTTGATCAGTTTCCAGCCATTGCTTCTCGTCCTGCCCTCAGGCGCCTTGGAGAATAGCTTGACTCCCTCTTCTTTGTGGCAGCCCCTGAGATATTGGAATACTGCTATCATGTCCCCCCTCATCCTTCTCTTCGTTAAACTAGACATACCCAATTCCAGCAACCGTTCCTTATATGTTTTAGCCTCCAGTCCCCTAATCATCTTTGTTGCTCTTCTCTGTACTCTTTCTAGAGTCTCAGCATCTTTTTTACATCGTGGTGACCAAAACTGGATGCAGTATTCCAAGTGTGGCCTTACTA